ATTCAAGAGTTATCAGCACAATATAAGGCTAAGGGGCTACTCCCCTTATTGCCATATGATTTTGAGGTGGAACCTCCTTGGTCTTGTAAAGTGGTGGACTTGCACTCTCTTGTGACGGGTGCAACCCAAACCCGTATTTAACATGGTATCAGAGTTAGGCCCACAGTATGGGACCTTAAATGGCTAAAGTTTATTGGACCAAGAGTTGGTCCATGTGAGGGGAAGTGAAGAAGCACTCTCTCTTGATTTGCGAATGTGGCCCAGACCCGTATTTAACACGTAAGCGATAAAAAGTTTCACATACTCATGTGTGCCATAGCGTGAGTACGTGAAACAATCCCAACCTCTCCCATCCCTGAGTCCCTCTCTTCAAATTCTCTCCCACGTCCATTGTATCGTGCACAACAAAACAATTGAATAACAAGACCACTTTCACTGCCTTAATGGAGGCTTGCCCATATACAGAAATTACTCCAATGTTCCTTCATTTGAATTAAATTTTGATGGGCATTGATCAAGAAACCTTCCAAGCAAGGTTGTTGTCCCTTTGTTTGTTGATGGATTTACCAAAAGGGTGAGTCATGGTCATTGATCATAGAAACACCTCATGATATAGACATAACTACGTCCCACATGACCACATATAATTGACATCCCTCTTATTGTAGACAACCATTAACGTTAAGTGGCCCCCACAGCTGAGCTTGTTCCAGCTCAATCCCCACACTTATTAATACTTCAATACTTCATAGTATTAAAATGGCCAATCTACAAGTATCATTTTTCTAAATTAAAAGGTTTCCTCCTTTTCTTTTGCTTTTCATTTCACCTTTCATTTTTAACCAACTTTTTAAGTGTATAATGATCTAGGAGTACTGAACTTGTTGCTACTTTTATATTTTAATTTGTGGCTACATTTTAATCTTATGTTTATGTAAATAGCATTACTGTAAACACTTCATGTTAAATTAAAGGAGGCTACAGTAGAATTATTAGGTACTCCTCCGTTGGTGGTTGAGGCCCAGGAATATGTTATATACTCTATCACTCTCCCTTACAGAATGTCCTTTGGACTTGAAATATGGATGCAGGTCCACCCATACCTGGTGCGAATTAATTCCACTTGAAAGTAGGGGTGGAAGAGATTCGAACCCGTAACCTTTGTGTCACGCTGGCTCTGATTTCATATTAAATGACCAGCTCAACCAAAAGCTTTTGATAAAGTGACAGAGGGAGTATTAATCATATATAAATAATATAAATTGACAAATAATTACTCGTATTTTGAAATTTTATTACTCTGTACAAATTTGAGTTTTATGTTAATTTTAGTTACAATTCAAGATTTTTTTATATTTCACAAATAAAATGAAAAAATAAAGAGGGTAGTAATTAAAAACTTGAATGAAACATTGCTATTCTCTAATGAGATTGTGCATCACACTTGTCTTGTACTCTAGTAGTGGACAATTAAAAAGGATTCTCCTCGAATCTCTCTCCTTGGAACTTTCATGACAACTACTTTAATTATAGTAAAGCTTAATGAGCACTAGTATGATGGCTTTAATGGGTTTTAATTACTTTATTTTGAGGCTTTTAATAAAGTGGCAAAGGTGTTTGAGAGATTTTCTCTGAAAAAAGGTGGAACTTTGGGGGAATTAGGACTGACACTATGATTCTAAGACAAGAAAATCATTCACATCAAGGCACCGTTGATACGGAGTAATTATGTACTGCACCCTGTTTTTGAGTGTATATATGGACGGCGTACGCTAATGTATGATTAACACTCGAATTATGTTCAATTCATCCCATCAAACTATCATCTACATTAAAGAACTTTAAGAGAAGTTTTAATACGTATGGAATACCGTAATTGAACCCTTAAAATTACAAGTATTATTTCCGTTATAAACTTTATAATTCATATATAAAAAAGGAGAAAAGAGTTAGACAAGTCTATATAAACTTTTACTAAGGAGAATATTTTAAAATCATCAATCAATCAATAATCAATACAGAACAATATAATACTAAAATATCCACCAAAAATGACACATGTCAGTTCTTGGTGTTGTTTTTTCCCTTATAAATTTTTTTCTTTGTTTTTTTATTCACTTTCTAGAAAAAAAATACTTGTTTTGTTTCCTTTTAGCTCAGGTTTCTATAGTCACGTTTGTCAATGAACATATTCAGCCGTTAATATCTTTAATTACCGATTTCAAAAAATTATAAAAAGTTGATATTTTGAAAATATATAATCTTGACGAATCCAACCATACTCCACATAACTATATTTTTCATTACGTATAAATCATAAAGCGCGGTTAAAGGGAACTGTGTGAATAATCCTAATGTCAAAACGTATCAATTTTAAAAAGACGAGGTAGTATTTATTTCTTTATAAGATTGTGATTCACTTCCTATAATTAAATAATATTCACATATTTTTCATATTTTTATTGTATAAAATATTATTCTACATCTTTTACTTTATTTTTTTTTTGGTGTTCAACCTTTTGTCTAATCCGAATTTAAGGCTCGATCCGAGTATAAATTAACGTTAAAACCTTTTCAATTTCATTTTTTAATAGATTTTGAACTAACATTATAATTCATTATATAATTTTGTTAAACCCTTGTGTGACACAGGACTTTATCTAGCTCATATATTAAAAAGAGTCGGACAACGTAACTCTATATAGAATTTTACTATGGAGAATATTTTATGAAATCATTCAAAACATAGACATCAATTAATAATACTATAATTTTCAATACAAGCATGCATTATTAGACCAAGCATCATTGATTTTAATTTGAAAACCTTAGCTTAATAAGAAGAACCAAATGTAATATTGTCAAGATGTACCATCAAATGAAATTTCAAATATATAATTTTACTCCGTAATTATTATTAATAAATGGTTGTAATCAATGACAATAAACCCCTAATTTCATATGGAGTAATAAACAAAATGTCACTCAATCATCCACTACTCCATCCGTCTCAAAAAGAACGACCCATTTGGCCAAAACTTTGTCCCAAAAAGAATGACCCATTTGCATTAAAACACCACCAATTTGCTTCCCCACATAAAAATTTGATTTTCCATGTTATTTTATTACTTTCTCTCTCTATTTTTTTACAAACCCCATGTAAATTTATCCTTCGAATATACTTTTGCTTCTTTTTACTTAACTTCCTTAATACCCGCGTAATCAACCCAAATGGGTCGTTCTTTTTGGGACGGAGGGAGTAATAGTCTAATACACTACATCATCTAATACTCCGTACTCTATTTCAGTCTTTTCATTGACTAAGCATTATTACATTAATTTTTTTATAAAAATATTTTTTACAATTATACTTTTCACTTTGATCAATTAATTTTATACGGAGTAAATCCTTTTCTAGACATGGATGGTTAACTACTAGAAACACGCCACAAAAGTGGTCCAAATTTGTAATGGTAATTGTGGTCCACTATAAGGATGACCAAGAAAGTGGCCAATATTTGAACCAATTGCATAAATTAAACGCTACTCCGTACCAACTATAATTAAATTTGTCATAAAACTACTATTTCGGAAAAACCCCCAAATAAGGAGATCTCCTTTAATATCAAACTTTGCAGTAAATTGTACTCGGTAGTAGCTAGATCTTTGAATCTCGCAGCTTCTACTTGCTACATCTTACGGTGTCTTTCTCTTTTTCTGCCTTAATTATTCTACTGCTAGCTGCTAGTACTTCATTCATTGACCACCTAATACCTCTTTCAAGGCTATCTTCATTTCATACTCGAGTACAAAGTACTTGTATAATTTCTATTCAAAAAAAAAAAAAGTACTTGTATAATTTGATGGAAACTACTTTAAATATTACGGAGTACTTTCAAAATATATAGAAAATTATCGATATGTTAACTTATGGGTTAAAAACGTAAAAGTATAAATAATGTATATGTTGAAATGGACTTGAACCGACCAAACCCCTAATTCGAGTAATTCCCCCCTCCCCTTTATAGAAGTGGTCGAAATAAATGGGAAATCGATTTAACCAAAAAGATCGAGATGGAGGGACCTTTGCTTGGTCCACCCGCCTTGGTCGAACCAGACCAAGGTGAAAGAAGGACCATATAGCCCGGCTGCCTAGCTAAGGTTAATTAAAGAAGTGAGAGATCTACTATTCTTTTTGTTGGCAGTCTCAATAGTTTGCTTTCTGTGTCTGAAATTGTCATCTCTTTTACTTTGAAACCTTCTTTTCATCTTTGTGGCCATTACTATCATAAAGAACTAACAGTGACAATACATCTAAGGAAAAAATAAATAATACGGAGTAATAATCATAGTCCATTCCTACTTTACTTTATGCAAAAGACACTCAAACTTAAAGTCTAATATTGACTTCAAATAAATATCTAGCTAAATTTATACAAAGTCATTACAGATGAAATTACGGGATACTCCGTATAATTTATGCCGTTTACAAAAATTAGATTTTAAATTAAATTCATAATCATAATAACACAAATCAAAATTTCAATTTACAAATCAAGGTGCCGAAATACAGTACAGTATATTTAGAAATATCTGTAGTGTAGTACAATTTCAACTTTATAAAGTCCCGAATCTTTTCTAAAAATTGACATATAGAATCTCTTTTTGTTTTTTTAATTTTTTTAGAATCAAAATTTCAGTGAACTAACCAAAATTATTTTCGTTCAAAAAAAAAAAAAAAAAAACAAAATTATTTATTTAAAAAACTTGGAAAAAGAAAAAAATTCATGATTTGTTGATACAAGTTCAAGAATAATCTGTCAATTTTCTCCAATAATGGACCTTACTTTGTCATGTATCATAGACTCATAGTAGACACATAACAAAAACAAATCAACAACAAAGAATCAAAACAAAAATAAATAAAAAAAGAATTGACGAAAAAACAAGAACAAATTTTGATTATTTTGTCATAGTAATATGCATCTAATTTTCATAGATTAGTAAAGTAGGAGTATTATATCAAAAACTAAAGAACAATTACAACCAAAGTAACCAAAAATTATTTTTGTTTTTTCCAACCCCTTTTTTGGGATTATAATTCAACCCAAAAAAAAAAAAAAAAAAAAAAAAGAGCCATTCATAGAGTAATTTTTCATCTAAAAAAAACCATCCATAATTCCATATGCACATCACTCTGATTTCATCTTCTTCTTGTTATACTCCTTGCATAACACTCTCATGAGCTCTGTTTTCTCTCCTTTTTCCCTCTGATTCCTCACTTTCTCTCTCCTTTGACTGTAAACCAACAAGGTCAATTTACATACTTCTTCCCAAAATAGATCTTTCTTCAAGATCACCCTTTAAAAAAACCCAAAAAAAAAACCTATTTTCTTTAGATTTACTATGTAACAAGTTCTTATATTTTTCCCTAATTAAGAACATTAATTAGGGAAATTAAGTGAAATTAGGCTGCCGCAACGGTTCCGGTTCGAAAAGGGTAGTTTGGGTTTTTACTAGGGGTAGAAGATGAAGATGTTGTTGAAGTTGATTTAGCCGATTCTTTCTTATTTCGCAACGCCTTCACTTTTCTGTTCTTCTCTTTTGCTTCGTCTATATCTATTTGTTCTTGTCTACACTCTTCGCTGCAAAATGGCGTATCTCCTCTGTAATAACAACAACAACAAAAATCCCAACACAAATCAATAATCATACACAATACGAACTCAATATATACAAATTGAATTTGTTGTTTATAGACCGTCTTAAGGACTAACTATCACCCGTCCCCGTCTATCGGTGTAATTAATACAATGTTTTGTTCCGATAGTTAGTCCTTAAGACGGTAAATGTATTAATTACACCGATAGACGGAAACGAAGGTAGATCTAGGGAGGTTATAGACTGACCTGTACATGAAGATGTCGCGGTTTCCGCCGAGGGGTTTTTTGCAGAGGAAGCAAGATTCGAGGAAATGAGGGGAGTGAAGCTCTTCAAATCTCGCATCAAAAAGACGACCGGATCTAGGAGAAGAAACAGGGGAAGAAGAAAGAGAAGTAATATTTCTTAGACTATTTCGTCTTTTCATCATAATACCAGCACCATTTCCGCCATTGTAGCATAAAAAAGCTTGAATCTGATTCAGATTCAGATTCTGATGATTATTGTTGTTGTTGTTGTTGTAAGGAAACCCACTATTATTTATGATATGATTTTGAGTAGTACCGGAGAATCCAGCAATAGAAGCTAAACCATCGTCTTCTGCTCTGAAACAAGGCCTTCTCATTGTTGATGATGATGATTCCATTTTAATGGAGAATTTGGATTTTCTTTGGTTTGAGAGGAGAGAGAAAGTGAGAGAGAGTTGGGTGATGGGGTAAGGTAAGGGAGAGAATGGGGGGTGAAACAAGGGAGGTTATAAAGAGAGGTTTGGTGGAAAGAGAAATTAATCAAATTTTTCTTTGAATAAATTAATTAGTTTAATTAAATTTAAATTAATTAAATTGAAATTGAAAAATTAAAGAGGAGGAAGAGGAGAGAGAAAGTATAAACCACGAGCGGGTGTATGGAATCCCGTGCTACTGAATCCATTGGCTGTTTGTTGTGATGGGGTGGGAAATGACTGATTTGCCCTTGGATGTTTATGAGAAAAGGGGGTTTGAGTGAGGGGTGTTTTGGGGAATTTGAAGGGAGGGTGGGTGTGTAATTTTGGTGGGGTTATATGCTAAGTTTTCTGTTTGCTTTCAATTTAGGGAGGGTGGGGAGCCACAATGGGACCTACTCGCGACTCTTAACGTCACTTGAGCGGACGGAGAAAACGACAACTACTTTGTTTTCCCCCTTTCTCTTTTTCTACCTCGTGTTTTTCACGCGATTTTTCAATTTCCGTTTACTCTTTCACTTGTACGGAGTACTCCTTAAGATTTTTGTAACTACTATTGTACGGAGATATTGGCAAAAATTCACCTTGCGTGTGATCTCAGGGTAAATATTGGTTGCACCCCTAAATGTGTGCAATAAAAAAAAAAAAAAAACTATTTACAACATTTATCCATCGGTTAAGTTTTCCGATACATATTGGTTCGGATTGAGTTTTATTCGAGTGAAAAATCATTTTGGTCAAATCATATTGAGTTCTAATGGTATAGTCAAACACAAACTAGCCGATTAATGTGATTACGTGAGCAACTTTTGAATTGAGTTATAGGGCATGTTCGGCAAAATGTAGCTGTGAAGGTAGTTGTAGCTGTGGAGATATCTGTGGGCTGTGGAGATAGCTGTTAGCTGTGAAAAAAGATAATTTAGGTATGACTATTCGGTAAAGTAGTGGTTGACTAGCTGTTACATTTAAGAATCAATATTTTATTTTTAAAACTATACATTAAATTTTCAAAAGCTACTTCAAAAGTTACCTCTAATTCAAAAGCTAATAATCCTAGCTTTTAATAAAAGCTACCTCCGCCACTAAAAGCTACTTGAACCATTACTTTGCCAAACACTCACATTTTTTGTTGAGTAGTGGTTTGACTTGGTCAAACCACTAAAAGCTACCTAAAAGCTACTCAAAAGCTAGCGCCGAACACGTCCATAATCATATGAAATAATATAAGTTAACTTTGGTATTATCGACACAGGTAAAATTGTCTATTTTATATCTTACTTGCTAAAAGTTTTAAGCTTTGCAGAACATAAATGCTTTTTTCCTCTAAAATTCATTTTTAATTTTTTATAGTTGTATACTATATAAATACTTTTCACAAAAAAAAAACTGTGTAAAATATCATGTTTATGTGGAACATGTTTTTTTCTTTTTACTTAATAGTCCTTAATGTAGACATGAATTGAACCTCAAATTAATTCTACAAGACATGGGAGTGTCACCGCTAGACTACTCCTTCCTCAATTTAGGATCTGTTCTCATACGTTTATTTTCAATTCAGTTCAGTTCAGCTCAATTCAGTTCAGTTCAGTTCAACTCCTAATTTCCTTCTTTTATAAAATATTTATTTTGATTCAGTTCAGTTCAGCTCAGTTCAGCTGTCTATTAGAACAGCCCCTTATAGAAAGTCAATTGGATATGGAATTATGCCAAAAGTATGTTTGGATTTGAATTGTATCCAAGGAATTAGAGTAACTTGCAATCAAGATTTTGTATTAAGAAATGTAAGTATCTTAAAAATATGCCTCATTGTAAAGTTTGTTTATCTTTGTACATAATCCATTCTTTATAACTACATACAGTATCCCTTTCGAACTTAGTCATATGTCGCTCTCGTATAATTCGAAGGATATTCACAAAATCCATACACATTTTCAATCAATCTAAGTAGGAAGATGAATAAAATGACGAACTGATATTATCTAAGTCTCACAAAGATAAGTTTGTTTATTAGTCATGTGATCAAATCATAAGTTGTTCCTAAGTTCATTTGGAGTAATATTATTTATAAGACATTTCTCCTCCCAAACATGATAATTTGTATAAGATACAATAATAAATTTAAACCAAATAATAATAATAAAAAAAATTAAATGCTCGGGTATGAGCATAGGTGAAAAGGCATATAAACATTAGGATGGAGTAAGGCACGATTAGAGCAAGTCAATGTGTCATGTCATCACACTTTGCACTCAAATAAGCCGTTTTAAAATAATCCTAAGAAAATTATGTAATGTGATACCAACTGTCATGGTCCAAATGTTCTGACACCGGATCGTGCGACGCGCACTTGTCTATTGGCGACAAGGACACAAGCCCAGGACGAGAGTGGTTTGTGAGCATATGGCAACACGAACCAAAGGTATCTCAAGAAAGCACTCGTCAACACTCAACAATGGGTGCTGAGTCGGGGCTTGTGACGGCCGATACTTCGAAGCGGGCACAAGCGGAACCGACAAGTTGAAGGCGTCTTATGAGGGTATCTTGGTTTGGTGGGGATACTCTAAAACAAGGTAAACACGATATCTATAAAGGCTTGAAACAGCACACAAGTCTTAAAGCAATAGCAACGGGGTAGGAAGTTGACACAAGCCGATGTTCAAATAGGTCAAGCGTATGTAGAAATCTTAGAATCATGTTCGTGCATAAGCACAAGCACAAATCATGGCTTCGTCAGGCTAACCCGTGCTTAGCCGGTCTTTGTGCTTGCCCAATACATGCCCAATTTCACAACCGATCCAAGTGTATCGTATAATATACGCAAAAACTAATTATACAGTACAAATAATATCAAAGACACAAGACATACGAAAGCGCGTGATGTTACGTCACAAAGTTACACGTACACCTAAAAGCAACCCAATCAGGCACCCAAAAAATACGTGTAACTCTCACAATGACCCAGATTCTTTGTTCATAAATAACAGGAGAAAATAAATAATTTTCCTCAAACTCCATTAACCTTTTTCTTTCCAAACTCCCTTTACTAGGCACAGTACAAAAACACAGGTTACGTCATAAGCCCCTCCTCGGCCCCCTCACTTTTTGCCAGATTCTTTTGTCGTTTTCCCTCCACTTGGTGTGGGACCCCCCGATTCTATTGGGCCCCACCCTTTTCCCTTCATCATAACGTGGGCCTTACTTTTCACCCCTCTATTTTTGTTCAGTGTTTACCCCCGGTCAATACTTCTAGTACTGTACAAAATTCATGTTATACCCAAATCAACATCTTTTTTTCTTCTTATTGGCCTTTTTCGTATTTTTGTACTTGTCAGATTATTATCAATTTTTTAAATTTGCTCCGTAATTAATAATTACTGTGTACATTATTTACTCCGTAACACTTTGTTTGGATAGGAAGAAATGGAAGGAAAAGAAGAGAAGAGAAATAGAGGAGAACATAATCTATTATTTGGGTAAAAGATTGGGAGAAGGAGAGGGAGGGATCTACTTTCCCTCTCTATAATAACCATAATCTCTCCAAAATTGGAGAGATTTGGAGGGAAAATGGAGCTCACCTCCCCCTCCCTTTCTTTTCCCTTCCCTTCCTCCATTCTCCCTCCCCTTCTTTTCTTTCCTTCTTTGCTATCCAAACAAAGCGTAAGTGTAATATTCTCCTACTGATTAAAGTTATGTTCATTCCACCTTAAAAAAAATGATACGGAGTATTATGTAAAGATAATTTCATTTCAATAAAAATAAGCTAAATTGAACAGAGCCTAAGACTTTATTAGACCTTGAGTTAGGAAGACTATTTATTAGAAAGGTCTTTCAACTTATACAAAAACAAATGATCTTTTAACTTTACAACAAAACAAAAGGGTAATGGAGAATATTACTTCCTACAACATCAAAAGCGATTTTTTTTTTTTTAATATCTAAATTACCTTAATGTGTCTATGTTATATACATACAACTTACTACTCCGTATTATAGATTTATAGTCATTGAATTATTGTACCACGCAATTGTTAAATTGTTTGAGATGACACATTAAATAGTCATTGACTTGTGTTAGTACATTTGACTTATAATAGCACACTTGACGATTCATATTTATTTGTGCGCGAGTGTTCTTAAAATGTTATTCATGTTAATAGTAGATTACTTAAGTAACATGATGTATGACTTTACAACATTCAACTGAGAATGCAAAGAAACATCCTAAATATTGAATTATGAATTTTGCCTTTCTTTGATTTGTAGAGTACATATATGATTATTTTCTACTTCGTATTTAAGAATGTCATATTCTACACTATATAGCTTCTCGGATATTTCTAAAATGTCACTTACTCCGTATTTAAGAATGTCATGATCTTCCTCCTTTGCCACCCACCTTAGCAATCTTTACTTTTGGTACAATTTAATTAGTGAAAACCTACAAATTTTCACTTTTAAAAAATACTTTTGAAGTTCCATTAGACAAAATAATGGACAAAATGAATTAATTGAGCACTATGCCGTATAATATTTATAAAATAGAGTATTCAATTTGTACAACGTAACTCAAAACCAAAATTCTTGTAATAGAGGTTTAAAATTAAGAGATTTCCAAAGGTCTTATTTTGTGAGACGTATTAAGCCGCATAACCACTACTGATACATTATTGTATTAAAAAAAAACAATAAAATAATTTATGATACTAAAAATAACATAATTGAAAAAAAGGAAAAGCGAAAAGGAAGGCAAAAATATAGTGAAGCGCAAAATGATTTGTCCAAAGAGGAAGGAAAGAGAGTGGGCAGTGAGACACGAGAAGCGAGGCAATTGTTTGGTAACACGGAGGCTCTGCCCTAGAATCACGGGCAGGTATCTGCCCGTACGTCATAAACCCTGATTCATCAGCAAACCACGTGTACCGTAAATTCCTGTACCACCGTATCACTGAATAACTCCTTACAACTGCCACGTTGCTTATTTTGGTTCATTTTTAATCGGAGTAAGTTAAGTTTAAAGTACTATGCT